CTGGTCAGCACAGACGATGTGGGGCCTCGAGCTCACAGACTGGGCGAAAGAGATCAAGACCTGGGAGCCAAAAGTCGGATGCCGAATTTTTCACCCCCACTTAATGTTTTAAACATCTTCACTTACCAAGATCACCTTTTTCAGAGGTCCATCTGTAACTTCACATGTAACATAAGAACCTACAACAGTATTCACGAACACGCTTCCTCTGCTCTCTGTGCTAACTTGTCCTGGCGTGCCGCTTACTGGCGTACCAGCCACAACCCCACAGGACACTGGCGTTAACTGTTGAGAGACATACGTAATAAGAAAGAGAATCACGCGGTTCCATGCAGTCAGCTCATTTGCGCTTGCTCATTCGCCTTTCCAGATCCACATTTCCGCTTGCTGTCATTTTCCCTTCTGCCCGAAGACTATACTTCCCGCAGCAGTGGCGCAATCACCGGTGATGAGTTCCTTCACCATTTGTGAGTCCTTGTCTGGCACTTGTGCGGGCACAGGGACTGTGACATTATCACAAGATGCAGGTGCAGGATCCTTCCTTAGTCCTTAGGTAGAGGTTGCCCCAGCTCAGCCTCATGCAGGGAGGTGAGCTTGTCTCAGGTGAACCATCCCATGCTGGTTTGTCTGCTTCCTCCCTCTCTTGCCTTGCTCCCTTCTTTCTACCTTTCCGTCTTCCTTTGTCCCATGTAGTTGCTTCCCCTTTGCAGAGTGGATGGGGAGAAAAGAAGGGGAAGGCCTGAGACCGCTGGTCTTGTGCATTAGTGCCTCTCCTCGCCCTGCTGGTGCCTCCTTAACCTGCTGTTCTTTGGCTTCACTGTGATGGAGGGAGGGATGGCCAGTCAGCTCACCCAAGCGGTCAGCTTCACCTGAACAGAAGAACCTAGAAGTTCTTCCCAACTGAGTCCCTGGGCTGTGGTGTTTGGGTTTCCTCCCCTGCCAGGGTACAGCTCCTGACGTGGGAGCTCGAACCCGTGAACCGTGAGATCGTAACCTGAGCCAAAGTCAGATGCTCAACTGACTGAGCCCCCCAGGCGCCCCGAAACTGATAGTTTCTTAAGGCAGTTGCCAGTGCTGTCTGAAGTTGTGTCAGAGGAAATTTCTTTTCAATAAAGCTGTCAAAATATAAGGGATCCAAATAAGCATAAAAAGCATTCCTGGGTAGAAACTGGCTAATATTATGAAAGGACTTTGAATTACCTAGAAAATTTATTTATATTTAGTAACTATTAGATAATGGAATTTCTCTGAAATATCTCACTATCAGTTTTCACCAAAATATTCAGTAGTTCTTTCTGTCTGGGCCCGTGTAATCTGCATGATGGCTTTTTACAGAAGTGTCCCAGACCAAAGTGACTGGATCTCAGTGACAAAGAAAACAGAAAACCTTCAGAGTGGCAGAAATGAGGCTGAGCAGAGAGGGCACCTGTAAAATTGGGTATCATTCTAAGTCTCAAGGTGCTTTTTTATGTTGAGAGTTTTTGTGTGTGTAGCCCATACCACATTCACTGCATGAATGGCTCAAAACCAAAATAATGTCAGAGAAAAGCTCCTTTATAATGGAGCTTAATTAAAAAAATTTTTTTTGTTAACATTTATTTATTATTGAGAAACAGAGACAGAGCATGAGCATGGGAGGGGCAGAGAGAGGGGAGACACGGAATCTGAACTAGGCTCCAGGCTCTGAGCTGTCTGCACAGAACCCGATGCGGGGCTCGAACCCACAAACCACGAGATCATGACCTGAGCCGAAGTCGACACTTAACCGGCTGAGCCACCCAGGCGTCCCGGAGCTTAATTTTTAAAACAGGCCTTCTGGGGCGCCTGGGTGGCTCAGTTGGTAAAGCATCCGACTTTGGCTTAGGTCATGATTTCACCACTTGTGAGTTTGAGCCCTGCATGGGGCTCTGTGCTGACAGCTCAGAGCCTGGAGCCTGCTTCAGATTCTGTGTCTCCCTCTCTCTCTGCCCCTCCCCCACTTGCACTGTCTCTCTCTCTCTCTCTCTCTCTCTCTCTCTGTCTCTCTCTCTCTCTCTCTCTTCAAAATAAAACACTAAAAAAAGAAAAAAAAAACCTGCATGTGAAGACAAAATGATTGCTTAACAGTGGCTGTCCCTGAGGTGTGAGGTGCTAAGAGGAGACTTTCATTTTTATAGTTTTGGCATTTTCACAGTGTAAGTAGTACAAGGGTCTGCCTTGCGAAATGACATAATGCAGACATCCAGAGAGAGAATTCAAGTAAGAAACCAGAGACCAAAAATCCTGGCGAATGCTCTGCACATGTCAGTACCGGCAGCCTCTGTGAGATGGGTGGTGAGAAGCAGCCACGGCCCCGCCCTGCACATGGGCAGGCGGGCCCTCTTCTCTGGGGAACAGCCCGTGATAGCAGAATGTGTGACACCCTTGGATATAGCAGTCAAGAAAACAAGCCGGTTTTAAAGTTGTGTGAAGACTTTTGTGATAAAAATGAGGCCGGAGGTTCATTCTGATGTCCAGTAGTTGGGGAAGGGTTCGACAGAGTGGTGATTATTTTCCTGGCAATGCTGGGCTTTTAGAGTCGAGGAGTAGGGGAGGCCAGAGCCTGGAGGAGTAGAGAGGACTGCTGCCCGGTAGAAGCAGCAGGAAACGAGGTGGTGCAGGGCTTCATGTAGCCTAGGCCATGATGTCGAAGAATGGGAGGAAATTTCAGTAATGTAAAGGTTTGGTATTTTAGGGTAGACAGGTTTTTTCCCTCCTTTTTAGTAGTCTTATAAAAATGTATACTTTTGTTTTTTACTTTGAAAAGTTTTAAACAAACCCCAGATCAGCGACAGTAGTTTGATAACCCTCTTACACCCGTCTCTGCTGTCCCACAGCCGTCACACGGCCACCCTGGCTTCTCTACCCCACCTGTTGCTCATGTGTTTCAAGTCCTAGACTTCGTGTCTGTTCACTTCTATGTACTTCGGACAACATCTCTGTAAAGTACGGACATTTATTTTATAACATGATACCCTCTCACTCCTGACAAAATTGGCCATCGTTTGTTGTCATCTGGTGCCTAGTCTATCGAAACTTTCTTCAGTTGCCATATTTTTCCAGTTGGCCTGGACCAGGATGAGAACCTGTAGGTCTCTGCCAGCCTAGGACTCTCCTCTCACATTGTCCCACTGAATGTTCCGTGTTGGGATTCATCTCATCCTGCTTCCTCTTCATTTCATGTATTGCTTGCAAATTGGACATTTGCTCCGAAGGCCTCATTACGTTTGGGTACATGTTTTGGGGAGCAAGAAAGTCTCACGGGCGATACCCTAAATTTCCTGCTGTTTCACATCACCTGTGGGGCATATGTGGCATTTCTCAGAGCTCCCACTCGAGACCGGGCGGTTCCGAGGTGCTAGCTTTCCCATTGTGGCCACATAGCCTTGGGCTGTGCAGGTACCTGGAGTGGTACCCGGCCTGTGAAGCCAAACAGGACCCCCCAGCACACGCTGTCAGTGTAGGTCGTCCGGCCTCGCCTGGGTGAACACACCCCCTTGCACGCCTGGGAATACGGCACAGGTGGGCTTGGACATCTGACTTAAAACACGGTCCTGTCCCAGCCAGTGGGGTCTTGAGCGTAGGGTCAGGCTCTCGGGTGTGAGTTGATTACTGTTCAAGGGAACGGCCGTGTGCGCAGGATCATTCCCCTTCTTCTCTTGTGCCGCTAAGAGGATTTTGACATGGATTTTTCTAAAAGTGTATGTTGTTTTAAAGCATGTGTACACACTTTATAACCCAGGCCCTCCAGTTCCATCATCTGGTGGAGGAACATTGTTGAGGGGCTGTCCTTGACACGAAGCGGCAGGGCTCCTGCCCAGCATTGAAAGCAGTGTCCGGTCCTCTCTCCAGCACAGGTGTGCTGCCAGGTGTGAGTTCTCTTTGCGAGCATGAAGTCTGCCAGGAGTTTCGAAAATCTCTCCAAGTCCAGGTGACGAGTCTGGGTTGGGTTTTGGTCCAGAAGGCAGGCTGTGAACACCCTGAGGGCAGGGCCCTGGCTGCCAGATAAACAGGAGGGGAGGCAGTTCCAGAGGTTTTAATCAGCAGTACCACGCGTCCCTTCTCCCACCTCCACCCCTAAGATGACTCAGCCGCCCTCTCGGCCTCCTGAAACACTGAGTCATGGTTGGCCAGTTATCTGCTCTGTGGAGCATCTTCAGAGACCCTACAGCTGCCTGCTCCACCCCTGGCCCGGGTGGGTGTGCCTGCCTGGCCTGGCTGCCGTGTCTGATAGGTTCCAGAGTTAGCACAGGGGTGCCAGGGGAGCTTGTGGGGAATGGGTGGCCTGGATCCTGCCGACGACTTCTGTGAGCCATGCTTATTTCTGCTGGAAAGAGCCTCTTTTCCTGCAGACAGTGTGTTTAGTGAACGGTCGGTGTAGTGCTTCTGTCTAGTACACCCCCTGTCACCTGTGTGATCACGTAGCCTGGTCCTGTCTGCCAACAGTCAGCAGCACACTGGTGACCACACGCTGCCAGGGCTTGTGCTCTGGGTAGGCTCTATCAGACTAACTGGAGAGGGAGGTACCGCTGTCGGGCATTGTCTCAGGTCTCACCCGAGAGACTCCCACTCGAGAGAATCCCGCAGCAGGTGGGTAGTGGATCTGTGCCTTCCGCTGCCCCAGTGGGCTACCTCTGTCCGGCCTGGAGCGGATGCCTGATCCGTACCGTGCCATCCTGGATGGCCCTGGTGTGGGGCCCTGTAGCACGGGAGCCTTTCTCTGCTTTATAGGAAATGCCTGCGTTCCCCCGCCCCACCAGCCGGGGGACCCCACAGAACCGTCTCTGCGTTACCATCCGGGCATCGATTCCCAGGATAGGGTGCTCAGAGCACTGGTGTTTCTGGGGACAGACCCTAGAGGGGACACGGGAAACCGGGGACAGCAGTGAACCTGGACAGAGTTCTTAATGGTTTGAGTCGGCTGTGCACGTGTGCTACGACTATGCGTGCTACGTTTGAGTCACGTGTGCCCTCTCTTGCAGGCCAACGCGGACCCATCAGTGATAAACTGCCTGCACAACCTTTCCCGACGCATCGCCACCGTGCTGCAGCACGAGGAGCGCCGCTGCCAGTATCTCACAAGAGAGGCCAAGCTGATCCTGGCGCTGCAGGATGAGGTGTCCGCGGTAGCTGATGGTGAGTGTGACAAGAGTCTCTCCCCCACACAACAGAGCAGTCAGCCTTCTGAGGCAGGGACCCTGATCCGGGTTTGCGGATGTGGAAACCGAGGCACCAGGAGGTTATGTGACGTTCACGTGATCTTCCTGGGGTGCACAGGAGGGTGCCCCCAGGATCACAGTTGGAAAGCAGCTCTCCTGACCTGATGCACTTAAATGGATTTCCCAGCCTCCACTGCCTCCCTCCCTTGCCCCAGCTGCTGCAGGATGGCTCTTCGTGCAGACTGGGCCTTGCCCACCCAGCCCTGCTCTCGCTGGCCATGTTCGCCTGTGGTGGGAGGACACGCAGAGGGGCCAGCGGGATCATCGAGCTGGCAAAGAGGGTGGTTTCCAGTTCTTTGCTTTCAGCTAAATTGATGAAGGACCTGATTGAGTTATCAGCTGACCAATTAAAAATAATAATTGCCAGGGGCTTATGGCTGGCTCAGTTGGTAGAGCACGTGAATCTTGATCTCGGGGTTGTGACTTTGGGCCCCACATTGGGGTTCAAAAGAAAAATCTTCAAAAAATTTGAAAAAAAATTTTTTTTGCCAGTAGATCTTTTTGTGGATCTTGGTGTTTTGTAAATACCTCAAAGCACAGAGAAAGGCCTGCCTGTTCCTCATGCCACGTCCATCTCAGGTCAGCTCCTGTATAAAGAGAGAAAGTAGAAATAGATTTGAAGGGGAACCCAGTCTAATTTTAGCAATAAGTAAAAGTAACGATCACCATACGTGAAGTGTCCAACTCACGTGCATTTTCAGTGAAAATTTGCTTTTTTTATTTGATAGCTATCAAAATGTATAATTATGTTTTGGCAGTTATGTGTTAATAACAATCCAGAAGGGTTTTTTTTTTCGTTTACTTATTTATTTTGAGAGAGAGAGAGAGAGAGAGCGAGCAACCATGAGTGGGGAAGGGGCAAGAGAGGAGGAGGGAGAATCCCAAGCAGGCTCTGCACTAACAGTGTGGAGCTCACCTCAGGGCTCAGACTCTCAAACCATGAGATCATGAGGTGATCCAGAATCAGCAGTTGGATGCTTAACTGACTGGGCCTCCCACACGCTCCTAGAAGTTCTGTTTTTAAAAGAACATTCTCTTTAGGGTCTGTGACTTTATCACAGGAAATTTTAACGTTTATTCATTTTTGAGAGACAAAGCATGAGTGGGGAGGGGCAGAGAGAGAGGGAGACACAGAATCCGAAGCAGCCTCCAGGCTCTGTCAGCACATAGCCCAACGCGGGGCTCGAACTCACAAACTGTGAGATCATGACCTGAGCCAAAGTCGGACACTTAACCAATTCAGCCACCTAGACGTCCCTATCACAGGAAATTTTGTAAAAATTCAATTTAGCTACATATTTTTAAGGCATTTATGAGAAAGGATTAGTGAAAGACTTTTGATCATAAAAATAAATTGCATTAGGGGTGCGTGGGTTGCTCAGTTGGTTAAATGTCTGACTCTTGATTTCAGCTCAGGTCATGGTCTCATGATTTGTGAGATCGAACCCCATGTCGGGCTCTGCACGGAGCCTGAAACCAAGTTGGGATTCTCTCTCTCCTTCTCTGGCCCCTCCAAAATAAGTAAACTTTAAAAAATTGCATTAGTGTGAGTGAGTAGGATGAGGTGTGGCAGCACCCACTCACCAAGTGGAAGGTGGCTCTGGTGGTCTCAGGGGACGCTTTGGGGGCTGCCAGTGACCTGGACTGTTCCAGTGCTGCAGGCTCAGGGGGCACCAGTGGTGACGTTTAAACACAAAAGTTCCATATAAAGACTGCAAACAAAGCAGCCTGAGTCTCATCTTCATTCAACTGGATGCACAGATTTTATAATTTTTTTTAAAAATTTTTTTTTTTTTCAACGTTTATTTATTTTTGGGACAGAGAGAGACAGAGCATGAACGGGGGAGGGGCAGAGAGAGAGGGAGACACAGAATCGGAAACAGGCTCCAGGCTCTGAGCCATCAGCCCAGAGCCCGACGCGGGGCTCGAACTCACGGACCGCGAGATCGTGACCTGGCTGAAGTCGGACGCTTAACCGACTGCGCCACCCAGGCGCCCCTGCACAGATTTTATAAAAAGCAGTAGGGAATGGTGTGATACTTGGTTTAAATTGACTTACAATTTATTTTCAGTTAAATTTGTTTTTAAAGGTATTTTCCATTCCAACCTTGGCAAGTTTTCTTGCTTTGGAGTCTCTAAATTCTCCGTGTTACGATTTTTGCAGCAAATGGTGGTCCTCAGTCCCCGTTCCATCACATTCTGCCCAAGTGCAAGCTGGCCAGGGACCTTAAGGAAGCTTATGACAGGTAAGACAGGTGGGTGGCATGCTTGGTGCATCTCCCTGTGGGCCTTGTTGCCTGAGCCGTTGTCCTGTGGTGCCACTGAGATGGGGGTGAGAGAGCCCTTCTGCTGGGACAGTCCCTCCCAGAACTGAACCTGAAGTCCCATGGGAGAGCCTGAAAGTGTTTTGCATCATTAGATGCAGGGTCAGCATGACACAGTGCCACGTTCTGGGTCTGTCCTCTAAGACGGTGTCACCGTCACCTCCTCACCCACGAGGAAACTGAAGGTCAGAGGGTGCTCCTCCTGGCTCTGAGGGACTTGGGGCTTGGGGCCTGAGTGTAGGAGAGCAGCAGACATTTGCAGACACAGCAGAAGTTAACAGTTCCAATTATATTGGCGTTGCCAGCACTCTCTTTGTGGACAAGCAAAGAACCTCTTTTTAACGAGGGTCCACCACTCCTTGACCCTGGGTCTGCAATGCAGGTGGGAGGTGGAGAGTGGGGGTTGGGCAGGTGTCCAAGTGACAGTTCCCCTGAAAGCTTTGCCTTCCCCCTCTACTCCAGGACTGTTGGTTCACGAGGAGCCATCACTCACACCCGAGGGGACCGCTTAGTGCCAGGCATGCTGCTGCACAGACGGCATGGGGCTGCAGGCTTCTCTGGGCCGTGTCCTTGCATGCAGCCCAGTGCCCTCTCCTGGCCTTCTTGGGGCTTCGTTCCATCCTGGTAGGCTCCATGCCACCCCCTGGAGGTGTGCTGGATCTAAGAGTGTGGCCGGCGATACCACGTTATTGGAGTGCAGAAAAGGTGGCTTGTCCGGCATCCTCTCCTTTTTTTTTGATGTTAATAATTTTCCCGATCTTACCAATAATACGTGTTCATTGTAGATACTTAGGAGATATAGAAAAATAAAGAGAAAACAAAGCCCGTCTGTAGTCCCATACCCAGTGATACTTGTTACGAGCATTTTGGAAATTTTCATTCTTTTTGCCGTTCGAACTAAAGCCTTTGAAAGGCCACCTACCCATCAAGTCTGAGAATCGGAGTGTTGAGCTTCTTTCCTGCTGTACCACCACCAGTTCCCATTCTGGCGGCAGGATGCGTCTAAGCAGACAGCCGTGTGTCCTGTGCCGTCCCTCACAGGTGGGCCTGAGGCACACACAGGTGGGCGCAGACTGCCTTTCTCCTTTTACGCTGTACGTGCGGCCTGCCTTTTGCCTTCGTAGTTGAACCACGTAGCTTAGACTCTCTCTATTGGCAAATAAGGACTTTTCCATTTTTCTTTTTTTTAATTTAATTTTTTTATTTTAGACGGGGAGAGAGCGAGCGCAAGCGAGCATACGCATGAGTCAGGGAGGGGCGGAGGGAGAGGGAGAGAGAATCCCAAGCAGGCTCCATGTTCAGCGTGGAGCCCGGTGTGGGGCTCGATCCCACGACTCTGGGATCGTGACCTGAGCTGAAATCGATAGTCAGACGCTCTGCCGACTGACTGAGGCACTCAGGGACTCTTTTTTTTTTTTTTTTTCTGTAATGACCAGCCTTTCCTGGGCATTTAGTTGGTAGCAGCCTCTGGTGCTATAAGACCTGCTGGTCGGCTCCGTGCACGTGTCACTGTGTACGTGTGCCTATGTATCTACGAGGTAAATTCCCGAGAGTGGAATGGCCGGGCTGAAGAGGTAAAATGCACTTGTAATTTTGGTGTATTTCCCCGTTGGGGCTTGTGCCTCAGGCTGTACCCTCCCCCCACTAGCAACACAGGAGATGCCTCTTCTCTGGCTTTGCCGGCACAGAGTCTTGGTGAACTTTTGGACCGTACCGGCGTAGTGGGTGGAGAATGGTGTCCTGGCACAGCTGTCTGCATCTTCACAAGTTCACACATCTCCCTTTTCTCTCTCAGCTCTGCCCAGATCCCAGCTCATCTGTCTCTTGGGAGGAAGGGTGCCCTCATAAAGGAGGCAGAGCTGTCCTCTGTGACACAGTTCCTTTGTCCTGATTTTCTGACCGCTGGGTGTGGGCCTCTGGGCGTTAGGAACCGGGGTCTCTGGTGTCGTAGCCACCCCGTCCCTTTCTCTCATGACACCGCTCGTGATCACGTTGAAGCTGTCTCTGCAGTAGGAGAAGTGCTGCTCTCTGGCCTTGGGTTGGCTGGTGCCAGAAACCCCTTCTGTGAGAAGTGTTGCCTGCTTCTGAGTGGGACTCTGTACACCTCAGCTAGGGTTAGACCACAAGCAAAATTCAGCCTAACCTGGAGATAAAGTAAACGTCAAACCAGAACCACACTTACTATGTCTAAAGAAAGAACGGACTGCAATTTCTGATGTTTAAACCGCAAGTTGGAGGGAATGAAGTCCTGGGTAGTTGGCCCGCCTGTAGCCAACTCAGAGCTTGAGGTGGCACAGCGCCCCCTGGTGGACATTACTTTAAAGGAGAAGGACCCTTTAAAGGTCCTTCTGGACCGGATTCCCTTTAAAGGAATCTGTTCTGGGGAAGAAAAGGCTCCCAGGGTCCCACTGTTGAGCAGTTGCCCTCCTTCCTCTAGCCCAGGCACCCTGGTGTGTTCGTGTTCAGGATCTTGTTTTCTCAGGGTGAACCCCCATGTACCCTTTCTGTTCTCAGACCCCACCCTGCTCAGGTTGTGGGTCCTGGGGCCCACCTCAGGTAAGCTGGCAACAGTGCCTGTCTGGAGGGAGTCCCAGGGACAGTGGTGCACTCCCCCTGCACCCTGTCCCAGCCTGGCAACAGCAGTGGCTCTGTGACTACCCAGGAGCCCCCCTGGCCTGCGGCCTTCCCTTTGCCTTGAGGTATGGCCTGGCCTGTTGCTGTAGGATAGGCTTACTTTGGAGCTAAGAAGGGAGACTTGAGTTTACATGACTGATCTGGTAGAACAGATCACAGAGCCACCTTCTCCTATTGTCAACTTCCCAACAGGTTTCCAGAAAACCCCAGGGAGGGTTTTCTCCAAGCAGAAGTGAGAGGCCGGAAGATGTGAGATGTGGAGGCTAGAGGTTGGGGTGAAACTTCTCAAAGGAGTGGTTCTGTTTTAATTAAAATCCAGGGTTGTGGTGTGGCCGACTAGCTTGGTGGCCTTGTGCCCTGGGACCCAAGTGTCCATGAGTATAGGCTGGCAGCATGAATCCCTCAGGAGCCTACCCTGACTGTTCTAGCACCTGTGTCTCTCCATGGAGCTTGGTGATCTCAGTGACAGTGTCCCACTCTTTTGTGTGACTGTTAGGTGGTGTGTCCCATGACATGAGGTCAGGGATACCCCTTCACTTTCTGTAACACAGACCTTGTGGTTGGCGCGTGGGGAAGCACGGCTTGTCCACTGGTGGTCAAAGGAATGAACAAACAGGAGTCGTGTGATTGTGGATTCCGTGCTTTGATGAAGTGTTTGTTGCACCGTTTCCAGAGTTAATGGGGCCTGTGGTGGGGCCAAGAGTCCTCAGAGCTTGGAGGAGCTGTCCGGGCCCTGGCCAGGCAGGTGGCACTGGGGACTCTGCGTTTGTTCCTTGCTGCCTCCCACTGCTGCCCCTCCAGAGCAGAGATTGGCCCCCAGACACCTCTGCTAATGTCCCGGGAGTTTTACTCCCTTTGCCCGTAAAAAGCACATACATAGAAACTTCTGTTTGAAGGGTCACGGCGGGCCACTTGGTGCCTGCTTGCACCTCTTGGATTGCGAGCAGCATCCGCTCCATGGACTAGGAAGCCTGGCCGTGTCTGGGACCAGAGTGGCCAGCAGGTGCTGGGCTGGCAGGGTGAAGGTTGCCTGCGAGGCCAAGCAAGGGCGTTTTGGCTGAAGTTCGTCCTCGGGCAGCGAGGTGTGAGGGTAATGGAGGAAGCTTGTACACAGTACATTTCCACCTGGGATAGGAAAGATAAGAGCGTGCCTTAAAGGATATGCACAGTCATCGCTTTAGGACTCGGGGCTCTGGTAAGAGCATCTATCTCACGTGGCAGATGGGGCTAGGCGACCCTATCTGGCCCAGAGCTGTGGGACGGGCTGGATAAGCCTTGCTTGGGGGGGGGGGGGGGGGGGGAGTGCTTTTTGCGCGGTGTTTCCGGACCAAACGTGACTGCCCTGGAAACAGAAGTACAAGCATAGCAGGAACCGAGACCCCTGCCCTGCTAAACACTTGTCTTGAAATTGTACTTTATACAGCATAGGAAATATACTCGTTAATAATGGAATCATGTTATTTGGTGACAGACGGTGGTGACTGCTCTTGTGCTGGTGAACACTGAGTGATAAAGAGAACCGTCAAACACCTGAACCTGATACAGCAGTGTGCGTCAACTCTTTCAAAGTCAAGAAATAAATAAATGAACTGTAGCCTCAGGGATTTTCAGAGGGTGGGCTCCCTCTACCCTGGAGGCTTTAGGAAAAAAACCAAGGGTACTTTGAAAACAGAGCCCGACCTTCTCTTCCCTCCTCTTGGCAGACTTCAGTGCCGCTCCTGGCTCTTGTCTTGCTGCAGGGGCACTCGCGGGGCTTCCCTGGGGGCTCCGGGTGGGTGGGTGTGCTCCTCCTCCCGACTCGTTCCAGGGATTCTTCACACTGCGTCCCAGTGCGAAGTACTCCATGGATGGAAGTTGCCAGTGGGTGAACAGATGCCTGGAAAAGTGGAGCAAAATCCACATGAAAACCAGGGAACCAACACGGGAGCGTCTCTCCCACCCGGAGAAGAGGACCCCACGCCAGTGTGTGCATGTACATGGCCTTGCCAAGCTCCTGGGGGAGCAAAAACAGCTGCCTTTGAAATGGTAGGAATCTCAGTGTTGAATTCTGATTCTGTGGTGTTCCAACTGCTACTTTGAGCCACATCCTAAAGAGGACAGCTCAGAAATAAAAAGACTCTATTTTCAGTCCACCAGCCTTTTTGTCCAGGTACATAGTGAAACGGAGGAGGGGTCTGCACACCTAGCTTTGTCAGTTCATTCTCCCTGCAAGCCCTGCTTTTTTCCTCACTCTTCTCTTCCCTTTTGTTCACGGATGCTGAGACTCTCATCCACTGGAGCGCTCTCTCATCGTGTGAACTTGGATTCTGTAAGAGGCTGTTTTTCAGAGGTTGATGGGAGCTGTCCACCTGCAAAGACCCTTGCCCAAAACTTGGTGAGGCTCTGGGAGTCTCCATCTGCTCATATTTACTTATTAGCACTCCATTCTCGAAGAACCCAAGAGTGGTATCCTCCTCTGGGACCTTGGGGAAGGACCCTGGGTCTCTTCCCTAGATCCTGACACTCACAGGGTTCACCCTGAGGGAGTGTGGCATCAGCAGTGACCCAGCCTTCACCTTCCACACTCAGCCACAGCCTGTGGCCCCCACCCCTGCTGCCAGGGGTGCTCTGACCCTCCCTCCGGGGACCACTCGATGGTGCAGGTGTCCTGGGAGTGTGGCGTGGGTCTTCCTGACACCTCCAGGCAGGGCAAGCAGAGGGTGTTCTGGATCTCTGGGGTGGTTGGCAGTGAGCAGACAGTGGTGTTGGCAGGAATCCTAGGGGTTGTGGAGGTCACAGATGTGCTCTGCCTTCTTCACACTTTTTTCTCACTGCACATTCCCTGTTTGAGAAACCTGATGGCCGCGATGCTCCTGGCTCTTTGGGTGGACCCACGGGGAAGCTCGTGGTAGTTGGTCTGCTGCTTGAGTTTCGGGGAAGAGATGGTAAGAACAGCCTGTGGGTGCGGGCAGTGAGGGCCATAGCGCCTCCTGCCGGCACTGTGCGTTTGTGTGCCCCCGAGGGAGGTGTAAGACCAGGCAGGGCTCCCCCTGAGCCACGGCCTCCCCACGCTGGGCCAGATGTGGGCATCTTGGCCTCTCCGGCCAGTTGGGAACGGCAGAGTGGGGTTGGAATGTGATGGGAAGAGCTGGGTCAGAACAGTACAGGCCTTGGCAGTGGGCACATGTCCCCTCTCTTGTCCACCTGCCAGGGGCGTGGTGAGCACCAGCCATGGGGGCTCTGCCCAAGCAGCCACTTTCTCTCTGTGTCAGACACCGAGTGCTGTTGGCACTTAGCCCCGGGGCTGTGCACTGGGCTGTGGGCGCCTTCCGCCTGGCTTCTCGCTGGAGAGTTTCAGAAACCCCTGCTGAAAACAAGTCTTCTGTGTGTGGGTCTCTGGTGCAGGGCGTATGGGGCCACGTGCCTGCCGTGGGGCCCCCATGAGCGTGTTCTCCCGGCAGGGGCTCACTGAGAGATAGTCCACCCAGAGTCAGTAGCATGTTCCTTGGGCCCCTTTTCTTCCTCCATTCACGAAATGGTTCTCAGTGCCCCCCAAGTACCCCACACTTTGCCAGCCGTGTGAGGAGCAGTTAGTGCAACACAGGAGCACACCTGGTGACTGAATTCTGGTCGGGGAAACTGCATCCTGTGGTCAGGTGCTCAAGACACACGAATCTGGGGCTAGGGCCGGTTCAGAGCTCACCTCCCAGAGAAGGTAGTGCTTGAGTTGAAACCCGAGACCGGGAAGGAGCCGGGTCACCTGGAGGGAGCGCTTGAGTCAGAGAACAGCGGAGTTGTGGGGACGGTTGCAGGGCGGGGGACCAGGTGGCCTCGGGTAGGAGAGGGCATCAGAGAAAAGTGAGCAGGTCACGTGGGGCTTCAGGCTGGGACTGCCGAGATGGGATGGGAGCCGTGGGGGTCTGAGTGCTGAGTGCGGAGGGCAGATGGGGGCTGGTGCAGGGAAGGTCTGGACTTTGTACCTCCCTGCAGGTGGGATGGTTGAGGCGGGGATATAAGAGAAAGGAGGAGTCAGGGACAGGGTTGCGGTGTTCAGCCCTGAAAGAACCAGATTGCCGTCCCTGATGAGGTGAGGCCGAGGCCAGCTCGGGCCATTGCCGCGGTACACCTGGGCGGTGCTGGCATCCACAGCAAGGTGGGCGCCGTGTGCTCCTCCCGAACAAGACGCTTGGGGGGACTCGGCACCCCCCGCCCTTCCTGTCCTGCCTACCTCTCCTTTTTGGAGACAGGCCTCGCCCTGCCTGGCTGCACATGTGTGGTGGGGCCTTCGGCAGGTGTGCAGGGGGCCTGGCTCTCTCCCCTCTGCACAGGAGGCCTTCACAGAGCGCTGGCACTCTGTTTGGACGGCAGATGCCAGGGCTACCCAGGGATACAGTTCTGGGTTCCTAATGCATTTTCTTCTCTTGAATATACTGAGATCTGCAAAGATGATTGCTTGCCCCGGAGGGCTTCCCTTGCAGTTTCCTCTGACTGGCAGTGTGCGTGGAGGAAGCACCCTCAGGGGTTTTTGTGTGATCTGTGTGTCTGGTCACAAGTTACCGTGTGGATTCTCAGTAGCACCTGACAGTCGCCGCGCCTGCTCTCTGCAGCCTCTGCACGTCCGGCGTGGTGCGGCTCCACATCAACAGCTGGCTGGAGGTGGGCTTCTGCCTGCCGCATAAGATCCACTACGCTGCTGCGAGCCTCATCCCCCCTGAGGCCATCGAGCGGAGCCTGAAAGCCATCCGGTGAGCACCTGCCCCTGCACACGCCCCTCGGGGGCTCTTCTCTTTAGCTTCTGCCTGAGGTTTTACCAATTACTTCTTCCCAAGAACTGTCTTTTCCTCCTCCTGCTACAGAAACTGGCAGGTAAGGCTCTACTGTTGATAGAAGTAAAAACACACATTTTGGGGTCTGGTTTGGTCCAGAAATTACCAACCCCAGGATTCCCCTGGGCCTCCTCGGGCACGGCCTGGGGTCCTGCGCCAAGGGTCTTCACCTCAGGCCTGGGCAGGGCTGTAGGGGTCAGACATCCTGGCGGGAAGCCAGGGTATGGGAGGGATTTTGTCTTTATTTACAGTGTTTGTTCACCGGACCTCCTGCATTTGAATCAGAGCTTGTGGGAACTCAGTTACTTAACTGATTTCCTGCAAGGAAAGAGCTAAGCTCAGTTTTCACACACACATCCCACCAAGTCTCCCGTTTCCCTAGAGACTTCTATAACTAAAAAAAGAAATGTGGGCACATGACAGCAAATTTGGGGGTGAGAGAAACCAAGGCACCCCCTGGCCCGCCCTCCCTCCCTCCCTCGCCTAGTCCATGCCTTCAAGTCCTCGTCCTTCCTCCTGGGTTTCCTTGCTGAGTACGTTTTAATGTGGTTCTGTTCATAGTCTGTGGTGAGGATTTTGTTTTTCCCGCATTTGGGACTCTTTCCTTAGAAAAGAGTCACGCATTTTTTCAGTCAGCAAACATTTGCAGGGCAATCCCAGAGGTGGGGATGGAGTCGGGTCCTTGGGCCTTCTTCAGTTTTGTTCTAATTAGTTTCTTCTGAAGGTGACTGCAATCCTGGTGGCTTCTTAAAGACCCCTGGGCCTCTCTCATCCTTCCGGCGGCCTCTTCTCCGGGGTTCAGTGTCTCTGTGCTCGAGGCGTGTGCCTGGTCGGGGAGGCCTGTGGCTCGCATGCTCTGGTGACCCGTGACTCTACTCCGCAGCCCCTACCACGCCCTGCTGCTTCTCAGTGATGAGAAGTCCCTGCTGGGCGAGCTCCCGCTCGACTGCTCCCCGGCCCTGGTGCGTGTGATCAAGACCACGTCTGCCGTGAAGAACCTGCAGCAGCTGGCCCAGGATGCAGATCTGGCCTTGCTTCAGGTAACCCCGGGGGGCCTGGGGAGACACCCCAAATAGGGGGGAATGGGGGAGGGAGGGGTGGGCACGTCAAAGCAGGCCGCCCTTGGTTGAAGGTGGGAGGTCAGGGTGTCAGGAAAGCAGGCTGCCTGTGTGCCACGTACCCAGGTCCACTACGTGGCCTGCCGTGGTGGGATGGGTAGTCCCTGGTCGGCTCCAAGTTCTGGAATCCGAGTCAGGCCTGGCTTCGGGGCGGGCTTTGTGAACTGGCTTTGGGACTAACGTCGTACTAACCCCTGTGTCCAAGGATTGTGAGGCATGAGGCCCTCCAGGTGCTGGGTTACTGGGCTCTGAAGGATGGGGTGGCAGGGCTAGGGGCTTGCAGGGGCACGCAGAGTGTCGTCGTGTGAGCAGCCAGTACCACAGCTCCACTTTGCCAATGTGGGAGGTGAGGGCAGGAAGTTGGGTTGAGAGCCTGCCTGTGTGCGGAACCAGGACCTAGCTTCGTGGCCTTGACCTCGACCTTGTATGTGCACCCAGGCCTATGTTCTGTGTGAGGTGCCATCCTCTTGCCAAGCCACGTGCTTGTGGGCTGCAGTTTCTGATGGGGTAGAGGGCCTCTCAGCCCTGGCTGCGATCTGGTTGGAGTCTGGGTGGGGGCCAGGGAGTGAAGAGAAGCATAAAGAGAAGTTGGAGGCCCTAGGACAGGGTGCCTTCCAGGTGACAGCCCCAGGGCGAGAACGGTGGGCACCATGTGGCCACCAGGGGGCAGCAGGACCTGGCTACAGAGCAGCTGCTTTCTCAGATGGGCTGAGGAAGAGGATCCCAGGTGTGACACGAGCCTACCTGGGCCCTCTGGGAGGCACGTCTTTGGCCTCTGGTCCTTGGCAAGGTGCGGGAGCTTGACTCTCAGGCCTCTGTGTCCCAAAGCAGCCGTTTCAGATTCTGCCATCCAGAATAAGTCCTTCCCCATGACCTTCATTTACCTGGCCAGAGAGTTTATCCGATTCTGCCTTTGTGTGTCATATGGGCTCACGGACTAGATGGGACCCAGTGAGGACCACATCCTAGTCACCTTCGTAGCAGCCACAAGACAGAACCTTAAATGTTCTGGCTGTTTTGTACACACTGCAGAGCTTGTGTTCTGATCAATACAGACTGAGCTGTCAAAGCTTTCAAGTTTCTCGGTCTCTTTGGGCAAAGACAAAGCTTTGATGATAACCCCTTCACGCACCCCGCCCCCCACCTTGCCATGGGGAGGCTGTTTTTTCCTTCCATAACCCTCCCCACTGAGCTCACTTCAAATCAGGGTTTCCTGCTGGCATGGCCAGCCTCCCTGGCCTCTGGGACTGCTGCTGCCTGTGGCAGGTCAGGTGGCCCAGTGGAGGCCCCTGGGAGAGCAGGGGAGCAGAGTCTGGCTGAGCCTAGTTGGACCCTCAAGCGTGGATGGCCCCACTAGAGAGAAGATGTCAGCTTACCTCATGTTCCTGAGGCGCCTGGCTGGCTCAGTCAGAAGAGCGTGTGAATCTTGATCTTGGGGTCATGAGTTTGAACCCCGTGTTAGGTATAGAGATTACTGAAGAAAAAATAAAATCTTAAATAACTCCTGTTCCATCCCAGGCAAAGTAAATATTTTGGGCCTTGTTTAATTTATTTCTTATTTTTTATTAAAAAAAAATTTTTTTTAGATTTATTTATTTTTGATAGAGACAGAGCACAAGTGGGGGAGGGGCAGAGAGGGAAGGAGACATAGAATCGGAAGCATGCTCCAGGCTCCGAGCTGTCACCTCACAAACCGTGAGATCTTGACCTGAGCCAAAGTCTATCGCTTAACCGACTGAGCCATCCAGGCGCCCCGGGCTTTGTTTTAATCTAATCTATTTTTATTTAATTTATTTATTTTGAGAGAGGGCGAGCGGGGGAGGGGCAGAGAGAGAGGGAGACAGAGAATCCTGAGCAGGCTCCACTCTTGTCAGCGCAGAGCCAGACGTGGCGTTCGATCTCAGGAACCGTGAGATCATGACCTGAGCTGAAATCGAGTCAGATGGTTAACTGACTGAGCCCCCCAGGCCCCCTTTGTTTTTATAAATAAGACACAGCGACAGTTTCAGGCGTGCTGTATACGGAGTCAGCAGTTCCGTATCAAGATAAGTGTAGTTTGAATCTCCTTCACTATTTCACCCCACCTACCTCCCCTATTTGGGGCTTTTTTTGTCGTGATAAAGTCGATATGCTCTTTCATATACAAATTGATATGTCTCACAAATTATAGGCACAGAGAGTGCCTGCAATCCTGTATTTCAGAGGTAAACACAGTAGATTCCTCCAGATTTTCTGTATGTATAAATTAGGACAGTATCTTTGATCACAGTGTCCATTCCTTATGATTGGCTTAGTAATGGCTCCACAGACCTTCGCAACCTAACCCTCAGGTCCTGTGGATGCAACCTCCCGTGGGACTTTGCAGAGGCGATAAAGGATCTTGAGATGGGCGGTGACCCTGGATTGTCCTTGTAAGAAGTGGGCAGGGGATGTGACTCTGGAGGCAGAGACTGGAGGGTTGTGGCCACACGCACAGGCCAAGGAAGGCTGCCGCTACAGGAGGCGGAGACTCTGGAGAGAGTCGTCCTGCTGACAGACACTGCAGCCTGGGATCCGAGTTCAGACCTCCGGTCCCCAGAACGGCACTCGGGCTGCAGGGAGTGGTGGGGGGTGGACGCCACGGGTGAGGGTGATGACAGGTGGAGGAAAGTGGGTGTGTCCTTGCTTTGGAGTGAGCTTCAGTAGGACTTGGGATGAGAAAGAAGAGCGGCAGTGAAGGAACTGAAGTTGCTGCCACGTTGGCACTGGTGGTGCCACTGGAGGTCCTGTTTGCCGAGATGAGGTGGAGGTGGACTCAGCAGTGTCCCTGGCCTTGCATGTGGGTCGGGGTGTCTTGCCCACTTGGGGACACATAGTGATGGTACGGAGGGGCAGCAGGCTCACCTGGGTGATGCAGAATTAGAAATGCCCAGTGCCAGGGCGCCTGGGTGGCTCAGTCGGTTAGGCGTCCGACTTTGGCTCGGGTCACGATCTCACAGTTCGTGAGTTCAAGCCCCCACATCGGGCTCTGTCAGCTCAGAGCCTGGAGCCTGCTTTGGATTCTGTGTCTCCCCTTCTCGCTGCCTCTCCCCTACTGTGTGTGTCTCTCTCTAGGTCTCAAAAATAAATAGACGTTAAAAAAAACTTAAACAAAACAAACAAAAAAAAAGAAGTGTCCAGTGCCGTACCCTCAGACCTGGGCTCCCCTCTTGAAGTTGGAAGGAATTTCTGGCATCTTAGTCTGTCTCTGGCCCGTCTTGTCTGAGCGTCCAGGAGAGCCGGGCAGTGGAATGTGGTCCCGGGATACTGGGACACACAGGGATGAGTGCAAGAGGTGTAGGACAGGTTCATTTGACCCACATCCATTACCATGTGGAAACCCATCCCCATGCTGGGCTCCTGGTGGGAGCAGGGTGCTGGCCTCTGCCAGCTTGTTCAGACAAGGCCCTTGTTCAGCTGAGCTGACCCCATGGTCCTGAACACCTCACATGTCCCCATGCTCGTGGGACTTTTCCTTACTGCCAGCCTGGACAACACCGGGTCCCGTGGGAAGTGACTGTCCCAAACCACACAGCGACCGGTGATACAAAGGCTTGTGTGCTTGCCGTGCCAAGCCCCTGGGTGGGGGGTTGCCGTCAGCTCCCTCTGCCTACAGGTTTTCCAGCTCGCGGCTCACCTGGTGTACTGGGGCAAGGCCATCATCATCTACCCGCTGTGTGAGAACAACGTCTACATGCTTTCTCCCAACGCCAGCGTGTGTCTGTGAGTACCTCTGGCTGCCAGAGCCCAGGGCCGTGCTCCTCTGCTCAGCCAGGACCTCACTTGGAGTTGGTTACTGGCCTCTGCTCTGTCCAGGTTCTTATTCTGGCCTGGTCCAGGACCACGTGGCCTGCCCTGGGCGTGTGCTCTTCGGGCATTCAAAGCTTCCACACAGGGTCTGTGCTCCCCCGTGTCTGCTGGCCAGTGGGGTCTGGACGGGGTGCCTGGTGGGGGTTGGGAGCCTTGGTCTTGACTTGGGGGCTCAGAGGGGCTGTGGCCTGTGCTCATTGTTCCTTCTGCCCCTCGAGGGAGAGCATCTGGGCTCTGTCCTCATTGCACCCATCCTAGGCCACCAGCTATGCTGAGCCTTCCTGCTGCCCACCCTGGGCTCATGGTGAGGGCACAGATGTCATGAAATGATGGAGAAGCCTGCTGAGCTCACGGGCACGCCCACCTTACCCATCCCCAGGTACTCTCCACTGGCTGAGCAGTTCTCCCGTCAGTTTCCAGCTCACGACCTGCCATCTGTCCTTGCTAAGTTCTCCTTGCCCGTCTCCTTGTCAGAATTCAGAAACCCCCTCGCCCCCCCGGTACAGGAGGTAAGTCACAGGAGTCTTGGGGAGCCCAGGAACCACTCCTCTGGTGTCAGTTTCTCATCCCAGAGCCCTCAGTGCTGCACCCTTAGCCTTGGTTTTGGGGAGGAGGGGGCTTCCTTTGGGGAGTAGGTGGCACATGTTGTGCCAAGGTGATCAAAAGCTAGTTCCCCAGCCAGGCCACCTGCAGACACTTGGGCAGTCCCAAGTCCCCCCACCCCCAGTCCAGTGGAGCCCACCCTGGCTATGGTGAGTGGTTCTTGGGGTAGAACAGAGTTAAGAGGCCCAGATGGCAGGAGAGTGGTGACCTTTCCTGGGTTTGGGTGTGTGTGTGTAGAATCGGCTTTGTTTTCATTGAACTTGGGCCCTGCCCTCCTGCTCTCTCCCCCTCCACAGTTCAGGTGGCCACAGGGTATATAGGTCTAAGTTCTGGGCTCACTGGTCCCCAGAATCTCCTCATCCAAGAGGATTTGGAGAGGACAGGCCTGGAACAGGCCCCACTGGGCCTGGGGCAAAGTGAGGGCCAGGTGGGATTGCTGGGTGTGGCAAGGGCTCATCCAGGGAGGTATGGGGCTTGTGGTCCAGGTGCAGCCTAGACCCAAGAACAAGGCTCTGCCTGCCTCCTCTCCTCTGAATGCCTGGAGCTTTGGAATTCTGGGCAGGGACCCAGCACAGGGCCAAGATGGGGCAGGTGTTGGAGATGGGGCTGGGTGTTCTCAAGGCTTTGTCTTCCAAAGTATTTGTTTTAATAAGCGACAGATCTGTTAAACCAGTCCTTAAAAGCAAATTCTTTCCCTTCTCAAGTTGTGAATGAGATGGAGATCCAGGTTCTTGAGTTCATTTAGATGCTGAGTGTGACAGTTCTAAAGGCCGCCTTTCATGGTGCCTTTGGTTTCCGGGAACTGTGCCAGGCCATGCCAGCCGAATAAAAGACACGCTTTGCATCTGTACCCAGCAGAAGCTTCCTAATGGTCTGGATGGTGGGTGGATTTTCCAAGCCATGCCTGGGGGGGGCCACCCTGTCCCTTGTCAGGGGCCCAGATGGAGCTGGGTTTGGTCCTGCAGAGTCCCGGGCTGAGGCCTTTTTCTTCTCCTTCTGCTTCTGCTGCTTCTGCTTCTTCTCCTCCTCCCCCTCTTCTTCCTCCCCCTCCCCCTCTTCTTCCTCCCCCTCCCCCTCTTCTTCCTCCCCCTCCCCCTCTTCTTCCTCCCCCTCCCCTCCTCTTCCTCCTTCTTCTGTTGCTTCTTTTTATTGTTGTTTGTTTATGTTTTATAGAGAGAGAGAGGGAGACAAAAGTGTGAGCAGGGGAGGGGCAGAGAGAGAGGGAAACACAGAATGTGAAGCAGGCTCCAGGCCCCGAGCTGTCAGCATAGAGCCCCATATGGGGCTCGAACTCACAGACCGTGAGATCACGACCTGACTCAAAGTTGGATGCTTAACCCCCTGAGCCACCAGGTGCCCCTGAGCCCGCCTTCTTGTCACACCTCCTGTTTCGGGGCCTGGAGTGTGTTCTTGAGGTCTTAAGAAGCCTCTTTGTTTTACTTGTTAATTTTAAGTTTAGTTATATTACAGTCCTTTTCAATTTTATTTGGTTTGACCAGGTCGTAACACGCCCATGGTACATCCCTATTTTCATGCCTGGGCAGCCATCCCCTCCCAGGAGGGGACCCCTGCAGATCTGATCAGGCAGATGTGTGTGTCTGAGAACATGCACCTTCCTGCTCAGGCATGCGCAAGCCATGCCTGCACAGGCCTCCTCACTGCCCCGGTCAGGTGGCAGCCCCCGAGGGAGGGGTGGACTCCACGCCCTAGGACTGCACACCGCATTACAGCTCCCTGTCCTTGGGCAGGCTTCCAGGTTGACCCAAGGAGAGGACTTCCTGCTCTCAGAGCAGCAGCCTTTTTGTGAACGGTGTCCAGGCCACAGTGGGCCCGGCTCTGTGCGGTGGGGGGCTTGGGCGACAGGGCTGAGTGGCCTGGGGGAGACAAGGCAGAGCAAGGGCCTCCATGTAATCAGTCCTGTTCCTCGGCTCTGGGCACGAAAGCCCAGGTGTGTGGTGGGAGCAGTGCAGGTGTAAGCCCAGTGCCCTTGTGGCCCTGCCGCCTTCCCTGGAGCAGGGAGCTGGGCTTGCAGGCCGGCCAGCAGCCAAGAGCTCCCTTTCTGAGATGTGGAGCCTTGTATTCTAGGGTTGGGCCCCTGAAGCTCATGTGGCCCTTACGTCTGGGATGACTTGTGGGGACCGTGTCTCAGGTCGTGGCTCCCGGGTCCTCCCCAGAGGGGAGCAGGGCGGTGGTGGGGGACCAGCCTTCCCCCCACCCCGCCTACCACCCTGGGCCTCACACTGTCTCTTGTGCAGACCCAGCTCATTCAGATGGTCGTGTGGATGCTGCAGCACAGGCTCCTTGTCCAGCTGCACACATACGTGTGCCTGATGGCCTCGCCCAGTGAGGATGAGCCCCACCCTCGAGAGGACGACGTCCCCTTCACCACCAGGGTCAGCGGCCGCAGCCTCAGCACACCCAACGCCCTCAGCTTCGGTTCCCCAAGTAGGAGCCCCCTGCCCAGGGCATGTGTCTGGTGGGTGGGGGTAGCCTTTGGGAGGGTGCTTGGGAGTGGCGGCCAGGATCCCGACATAGGCACGGCTGTGAGTGACTGGAGCACCTTCGCATGGCCATACGTGCGCGCGCGCACCCACACCTTGTGTGGGCAATTGGGTCCTCGCACGGGGAGCCCCTGCCCCCTGCTGAGCAGCTCTCCCTTGAAGGAGGACAGGAGACCTCTCTCCCTGACCTCCCTGTACTTCTGTGGCTCTGAGGAGAAAGCCGTGCCTCTGGGCTCCTGAGCTCGAGTCAAGAGCAGCCTGGGATCAGAGCAGATTTCACACCATCCCTGGAAGGTCACAGTTGAGACTGCTGTGTCCAGGGCCTGTGAAGAGAAAGTGACTGTCACAGCCCCTTCTTTAAAGAGCCATTGTGGCCACAGCATGCCCCAGGTTCCCAGGCTCAGGGCAGATGAAGGGCTGGAAGGCTCCCTCGACTGAGGCCTGACCTTGGTCTTCAGGTCCAGTCCGAGAACCCTGTCCGTGTCGGGTAGGAGGGGCGGGATGGGCGGGTCTGCCTTGTGCTGTGGGGGGGCCCTGACCAGAGGGCGTGGCAGTGGATTCCCGGTGGGCACAGGTGGCGCAACAGGGGCATGTGTGGGGGGTTGGCTGCTTCCTGACCTATGGCCACCCACAGCCAGCAGTGACGACATGACCCTCACGAGCCCCAGCATGGACAACTCCAGTGCAGAGCTTCTCCCCAGTGGGGACTCCCCGCTGAACAAGAGGATGACGGAGAACCTGCTGGCCAGCCTTTCGGAGCACGAGCGGGCGGCCATCCTCAGCGTGCCTGCAGCCCAGAACCCCGAGGACCTCCGCATGTTTGCTAGGTGGGGGCGCGGTGACCAGTGGGGCTGGCTCAGTTCTAGGGTCAGAACAGAAAGTGGATGGGGACTTAACCAACACACTCCCAACTGAAATCCATCGATGACAAATGGCAGTTGCTGGTTGAGGTGGCGTCTCAGGCACTGTGGTGTCCCCACCTGGGGTGCCTCTGACGTTGGGGTCCCTCCAGGACTTCCTGGGTGTCTCTTGTCACCTCTCTGGAAGCAGCAGCACGTTCTCCTCCTCACGGGGGTTGGCAGGGATTTTTCCCACGTGGGAAAGCTCTTGGCCCAGGCAGTGGGGGGAAGGGGTTCCAGGCCTCCCTACATCATTGGTGACACACTTTGTCAGACCCGGCTTTGACTTGGGATGGGTGGGGGGCTCTGCAGGTGTATGGTTTTCTGGGTGAGGTGAGGAAACCCCCAGTCACGAACCGCATGCCAGGCAGCTCTTTGAAGCAGCCACGTCCAGGCCTCCTACGCCAGCCCTGCCACAGATGGCCCCCTAGAGCACTGATCCTCTTTGGGTCCGTAGCCATACGGGACTTCCCCACCCACGTCAGGATGCCGAGGGCGGGAATGGCCCTCAGGCTCGCGTGGCTCCAGGGTTTGAATAGCCGTGTGTCCTCACGGACCCACTTGAGGGGACCTTTCCTGCCTCTGCTGGGGATGGAGGTGTGGGTGGCTGCCTCCCCGAGACCCTGAGATCCCCACCAGCGGCTGTGAGGCCAAAGGCCCCCTGGGCTCATGCTGTCCTTCCCCCACCCCCCAGGCTCCTGCACTACTTCCGGGGCCGCCACCACCTGGAGGAGATCATGTACAATGAGAACACGCGGCGCTCCCAGCTGCTCATGCTCTTTGACAAGTTCCGCAGTGTGCTGGTGGTGACCACCCATGAGGACCCAGTCATCGCGGTGTTCCAGGCACTGCTCCCTTGAGACCAGACCGAAGACGAGGAGGCGGAGAGAGGGTGCTGCCCGCGGCGGGGCTGCTGGGCTCTCCCCAGCCCTGGGCTTCCCACCCCTACACTGGGCGGAGCCCTCTGGTGCCTGAAGCCGGACTACAGTCCAGCGGCAGCCTTGGGCCTGCTGTACTCCAGGTTCTCGGTCTCGTCTGGTCCTGGAGGCAGCCTCAGTATCTGAGCTGAGGTGAGGTGAGGCTTCCAGCTGGAGGGAGTGTGCAGGACTCATGCCTCAGAGGGAGGCCTGCTGCGTTCGTTCCACACGCAAATTCGGGCCGTGCGTTTCTGTCGGACCCTCCTCCCAACCCCGTCCTCATCCCCTGACCCCCTCCACCGCTGCCTTCCCTTGGTCACCCTGGGGGATACACGGAAACACGTCTGCCCCCACCCCTCCGCCCTTCCGGGGGCCAGGAACACCTGAGTGGCCCTGCCCTCACCACAGCCCTTGCGTTAACCGCCAGCAGGCTCGTGACCAAGCTGTCACTCCCTCTCTGACACCTGATGATACACAAGGGACTGGGCTGATCCCCATCCTCAAGGTGAGTCTGCGCTGGTACACGCTCCCCTCCCTCGTGCAGGCCTGAGGAATGATGCGTTCAGCCTCCTGCCCACACACGGCCCCCAGTGTCCCGTCCTGGAGGAAGGACTGTAAGCTTATGCTGGCTACCGAGAGGAGCTCTGGCAGAGATACAAGCAGTACCCTTTTCCAGACATAAAGCATTTATTTGGTCTTTGAACAATTAAAAAGCCTTGTCCGAGCAGGCCTGTGAGTTCTGTTCGGCCGCTCGGTCTACCACACTGACCCAGGGGCTGCCCTGGACGTAGAAGCGCAGGGGCTTCTGGGCCCACTCTCCTGCTTGGCCAATGCCCACTCGGGCTGCTGCCACCACAGCCGGCTCCCTGGAGCCCGGGGGGCTGCGCTCCAGCCACACAGCCTCGTCCTTGGCCAGGTCCCGCTGGTCGAAGCTCTTGTCGATGGCCATGGCCTGGCACAGCTTGGAGGGGCCGCTGCACAGCTCACGGTCTCTGAGGGCTCGGCCCGCGGCGCCCTTGCGGAGGGTGCTGCGAAGCTGCCGCATGGTCTCCAGGCCCCCCAGGGGCTCCAGCGCTCGCAGCAGGACGCATGCCCCATCCCCTGTGGGACAGACAGACAGCCTAGAAAGCCAGGTCTCCCCAGGCCGGTTGCCCTCCTTACCCCAGGGTGCGTGCAGCGCTATGGGTGTGACGCAGCTGCCTTCCTGGGCGCCCCTGCACTCGGTGTCCAGATTCGGCTACCTCCACCTTCTGCACACACGACCTGTGTCACCAGGTGGGGGCTTCCCCCATGCAGCCTGAATGCCTGAGCACCAGCTAGGGAGAACCTATCTCAAAAAAAGCCTGGAGGGTGCTGGTAGTCCGCCTCCTCTCTGGCTTCCTCTGGCTTGGTGATTGGCAGCAATTGTGAGGCTGGCAAAGGAAACCGCAGAGAGCCAGGTGTCTGTGAGCATGGCCAACCCACCAGGAAGCAGGAAGCCTCAGACCTGGCAGATTCTGACCAGGTCCCAGGGCGCCGCATTCACCTCACCTACTTGGAATCCGTTGGGCAAGCTGAAAGGTTGGCTCAGAGCAGCCACCAGTGTGCTCGTGATGTTGGGCGAGCCCCACCCAGCGACACAGGAGACCATGTGGGAAGAGATGCCAACATAGCCCCTCACCTCCTTCCAGCCCTGGCTCTTCGTGTAGCAGTCCAAGCTACTTGAAGATTTTTTTTTTTTTTAATTTTTAAGTAATCTCTATATCCAACGTGGGACTCAAAACTCACAACCCTGAGAGCAAGAGTCCAATGCTCCAGCCAGCGAGGTGCTCAGGCGAAGCTACTTTAGAGACCGGAGACCGCAAATGGATACCCTGGGCCCAGGGGCTCACTCGGGAAGATGCATCTCCCCAAATTCCTTCAGTCCTGCATGGCTGGGGACAGTGATGACCCTGGCCAGAGGAGCCCTGACCCTCCAGCAAGGCTGTTCTACCGACTTGGCCCACCCCCACCACCAGGGGGTCTGAAGAGGCTCAGGTGGCCAGGCCAGTTTCCACTCTTGGACCTTGGCCACAAGGTTCTCCCCATCGGCACCTGGGAGCCCTGAGTGGTTACAGCAGCCATGCTCTCCCTTGTAGCCAGCACCTGGCAAGTGTTGGGGGTTTTGTGACCAGATGTCCCTTAACCAACCAATTTTTTAAAGTATCTCTTGGGAGCAAGCGAAACCTCAAGTTCCTGAGCCTCTGTTTTTCCTGGGCCCTTCTTAGCCCACCATCCTCAGGGTGCCCCGTGGGTGCCTCACATGTCCCTCAGTGTCTCAATGAGCCCCTGCACACGGGGTGAAGGAGGAGCCTATCCCTCTGTCCCCACACCCCTTTCCTGGAATGCATCTGAGTCCCACGTCCTGATGAAAGCATGACCTCTTCCCACCAAGTCTCCCCACCCTCACCCGCTAGTCCTCTGTCTACACCACCTGCCTTCCTGGTCATTTCTGTGGCACCTCCACACTGATGGCAGGCAGGCAACGACCATGTCCTTGGCCTCCCTTCTTCCTCCCTCTAGCTGGACGACCCTTGGCCCTGTCTGCACCCATGTGGTTTCCTGCCCCCCTGACCTGGATGTTTCCGGGGCATCTTGGTCATGTGTCCAGAAGGTAATGTGCTACCTCCCGTGTCTGCCCTGTCCGCTGTACCCACCCTCCCCCTGCCCCCCGACCCTAGAAATTCCAGGCTTCTCCCCTTCTTTGTTGACCATAGCCCCAGGCATCACCAGACTCATTCTCTCTCCTTGTCCGAGTTCAGTCCCACTTCACAAGAGGGGGTTGGTTCTATTGCCAAAGAAAAGCCAGACAACCAAGATAAGTTTTCCAGGGTGGTAAGAGGACCGACCCTCTGGGGTGGTCCCCACCATCCTCTCATCTCCAGTCACTCAGCTTCGCTCAACACCTGCTTTGTGCTGGGCATGGGACCAATCTTGGGGCCCATGTGGCTCTGACAGTGGACAGGCCCAGCTGTCCACTCTGTGCAATCACAACTTCCAGGCCACTGGAATCATGTGTAACACACAGCATACCAGACCCCACGCCTCTCTGTGGTCTCCTCAAGCATTTGCTTTCTTGGGATGGTCAGGGAGGAAGCTCAACACACATACAGATGTTGAGACTGGCTAGTCAGAGTGGGCCAGGCAGACCCCGCTCCTGGTCAGTGGTGCCTCTGGGAGGACGACGCTGTGGGTTCTTCCTTCAGAGCACAGGCCTTCCAGAAAGCAGCCACCTGCTCAGGAAGAACAGAAGCCGCCCCAGAGCAGGTCCCACAGGGTGAATGGGTTCTCCTGGGTGCTCTAGACCAGCATCTGTGGGCACTACTGATGTTTGCGGCCAGGTGATTCTGTGTGACGGGGGCCAACGTGTGCCTGTGAGCTATCCAGCATCATGCCTGGCCTCCCCCACTAGACGCCAGGAGCACGTTGAGAACGACAGGTTCAGACCCTGTAACTGACCTCTGGCAAGGCTCTGGCCTGAGCGCAACTCAACCCAAATTGATCTCACCCTTGTTTGCCCACAACCGGCCCCCCACAGGTCTACTCTGGGCCACAGGGGACGCCACCTTTGAGCTCTGTGACCATGGGCGGCCTTGTGGAACCTGTCTGCTCTGTGTTCAGGTCAACCCATGACCTCTATCCCGTGGGGGCCTCTGCACCTATAACCATCCTGTCAGTGTAGCCAGGATTCCTAAAACTGCAACCTAGTTTAGCACTGACACCTCCTTGCTCAGGTACCTGCCCCAGCCTGGTGTTCCCATGGGTCTCCCAGCTGCCAGCTAAGGGGACTCTGCTCACCTCGGCTGGAGACGTTCATGCAGAAGTACATGCCATAGATGATGTACACGTACAGGGTTCCTGGCTTCATGAACATGCCACGGTTGCGGGGGGTCTGCCGGCCACCCCTCGAATGAGCAGCTGCATCCTCAGGCCCCAAGTATGCCTCCGTCTCCACAATGCGGCCGCGGAGCTCTGTGCCGTCATCAAGTCGCCGAACCAAGACCTGTGGGCAGTCAGTCTGCTTAGAGCAGCAAGAAGCAGAGACTCAACTGTGATAGCTCACAGCCTGGGCCTCATCACCCCGGTTCAGGATGCACCAGGGCACCCAGGTCCAGCCGGGTCCCCTGCTGTCCCCTCTGTCCTGCTCCACCCCCCGGAAACACAGGCCCTGCTCACTAAGTGTCCTGGCCACAGCCAGCAGCAATCTCAAGCTCCGGCCCAGGCTGGGTTGGAAAGTCGGCACCACTGAAACCACACACTTCCAAGTCTTCTTGGTAAGGCCTCCATCTCTTTGCCTCCTCCTCCCCAAGTCCCCTTTGGACTGAAATGCTTAGCTTAGTGCAGGGCAGTGTGGGGGGCACGGGGCCCCCATGCTCTTCCCACACAGCTGGACCCCCAGAGCCTGTGTAGCCCCCTCCACCTGGACTAACCCACAAAGGACCATCCTACTTAGCTCCCACCCACCTAGCTCTGATAGGCATTTCTGAGCAGCAAGACAGGTGCCCGTAGCACCCCTGGCCTGGACCACAGCCCTGGGTGTAGTCAGCTCCACAAGGAGAGGGTCAGTGTAGGCGTTATGCCAGGAAGATGCGCTGGCTGTGGTTGGCTCAGACAGTACCCTGGGCCAGGGGTGGCACCCAGAGGGGACAGGGGCGCCGGCTGAGGACAGGGCAGGGGGCAGTTTCCAGGGGCTATCACTGGAGGGGCGGTGCTTTCAGGTCAACAGAGCACCTAGGAGAGGAGCCCAGGCCGCAGTGGAACCAGGGAGGGCCTGTGAAGTGCTGAATGTGCCAGGGAACTGAGTTCTCAGCCTGAAGACTTTCCACCTATTCCTTGGCCACATTATATTACCTGTCCCAGAAATGCCCGAGCCAGAGGGACTGCAGGCTGGTCGAAAAACTCAGATCCCAGTTGTGCAGAGTGGCTTTTGGGGCTTGAAAAATAGATGCTGCGCTGGGGTCCCAGGGTTGCAGGTGGCCCCAAGCAGGGCTCCATGGTGGAAGGCATCTGGGCTCCGTCTGTTAGGCTCTGATGCCGTCGTGCCTCCAACAGTCGCTGCTTTTTTTGCCCCATTCTTCGGGAAAGCTGTGATGAAAACAGACAAAATAAATATTCTGAATAGGTTCTGTGGTGAAGTCAGGCTGGTGGAGTTCAAGGACCATATTTGACTGCCCGCTTCACCTGCAAAATGGAGGCAGGCAGCCACCTGGTGGGTTGTTGCAAGGTGCAAGCAGAATGCTATACTCAGCCCCATGCTGGGCCCCAGGAAGCCTTGGGAAATGAGGACAGGCGGTCGGTGGCAGGGTCAGGGTAGCCATTCTAATCCACACACCCTCCACATGCTGCGGATGCACAGCCTGGTGACAAAGGGCCGCAGGGCCTGGGGAGGGGAGAGTGGGCATCTGAGCCTAGGACAGGAGGGCTGGTACCCTTATTCCCACTCATCATGTGGACCCCAAACTTTTTTTTATTAATTTTTATTTATTTTTGAGAAAAGGAGAGAGGGCGAACGGAGGCAGAACAGAGAGAGAGGAAGACACAGAA